TTAAGAATGACAGCTAAAAGAATTACAGTGTGAGCACCAGATTTAGTATTAGTCAAATCTGGACCCATAAAAGGTCTAAAGAAATGTGATCTTCCCATTGATTTACCATCTTATGGCTGATATCACCCACCACCAACCTCAGAATCTGTGCAAAGCAGATCAAGCCTTTAATCTCTAACACCATAGTCCTACTGACCTGCTTTGCTGCTTCACCTGCACTGAAAGGAGCTTCCAGGCRGGGCCAGTGGATCTGTTAGGGCTTGAGGCGGTGCAAGATCCTGGTTTTCCGGCAGGGTAGTTACATTAATGAGAGATGTGATTCATACACACCTCCTAAGCATCGATGTGGTCACAGTGACATGAGTTACTTCTATTGCTACAAGAAGGGAATGAGCTCTATCAGTATATATGATTCACACTAGAGAGGTGTCTATGCAGCCACACGACAAGGAGTTTGCACATCATCATTTCATCTTCAGTTTTGTAACTGAATTTGTAATTTGGGAGCAATTCCAGTGACTTTTATGAAACACAGACATGCCCTGCCTCGTGTGCTTGGAGTCTGTGGCACAGCATTAGGAAAGCACTTGGGAGTCCACAGTCTGGGGCGTTGTTTAAAGTGCTTTCTTTAAGAYCTTGTAACACCTRACACACATATACAATGTATCATAYTATTYGTGGCTACTCCCATACAAAAGAATGGTGAGCCTCCCATGAACGAAACACATAAGGGGAAAGAAGTGGATTAAATTTGTAGCTGAACACTCAASTGAAAACTGGGGATCAGAAACACTTGCATGGCTTTTTTTTTTCCATTGCTCCGCCTTATTCAAATCCCAAAAGTCATACAACAGACCATGCTAAAAAAAGGGCCAAAATGAAGTTATTCACAGCACACTTCTAAACAGAGWATTTAAACATAATGTGTGTCCCCACACAAACTCAATAAGCTTTGCTTTTACAATTTAAGAACAGCTCTAGCTTTTTTCTAGGGTTCATTGTGATGATAAATGCACAAAAGTGTATAGCATGCACTGCTGCTTATTAGCATTTAATGCTTCTTGAACAATTACAATGCAAATATTCATCACAATAGATGGGAACCTTGGTGGGAACAAGAATTCCCACAAATTGTTTTAAGAGTACAGTAAATGAATAGTGTTTAAAACAAAGAGCCCAARCCYCTCACAAATGTGTATGTTGCATTTACTTACGGATTAGTCCACTAACATATTCATTGTGCAACTGCAGTTGTACAAATGAAACAAAAAATACCCCAAAAATTTAGATCCCAACAAGTGTTTTCTATGTATAGATGGGTTAAAGACAAGCAAACCACAGTTGTTTCAAGGTTTGCTTGAGTTTATATGAGTGTTTCTTCTGTTAGTGACAGATTTTTGCAACATCTTACAGGACAAAGTATGAATTCAAGAATTTTTAAGAAGGTTTCATTYTGAATTACTTAACTGACAGTGTAACCAACACACTTACTAACAAACATGGTAATTTAAAGTGATGTTGGAAGCTTATTTCTAAGCTTTTCAGCCACAACTTAATACAAAAAAATTTTACTTACTAGATTTCAAAGCTACAAACAGATGGCATGTTGACGTCCTTTAAAGTTACTTTTACTTCACTTATACAACTTGACAATCAAAATAAACTAAATTTGCTCTATATCATGTATTAAGAAGATTTCTACATCCTGCACAAACTCTCTTTTCCCAGGTGCCATCTCTCTATTTAGTACAGTAATATGCAAACACAAATGTGTTTTCTCTTCTGATCAAAATACTTACAGGCAAAGACATTTTTTAGTCTATTCTTATGAATACTTTATAGGAGCAGAGAGGAAAAATACACTGTTGCTTACTATACCTTGAAGAGTATTTAGCAACGTGTAATATCCTTAGATCCATGTTATAGAGGAGAAAAAAAGAAAAGTGATGTGATTATACTCACAGTATCTTTCTTATCTTGCTTACGGCTGTTTGCAATTACAATTATAGAAGCATAAGAACTTATAGACATTATAAGAAGTAGTTTCTTTAGCATACACACACCTGACAGCCCTTCTTGGAAAGCTGGTTTTCCATRTCAGCAACACGAAAGATTGTGAGGATGCACACGTTCGTGTATATACACACTCTCGCATACAGATAYATCAGAGCAAGAACAAAACTGGCTAAAACCGCAGCAGCGAGCAGCAATACTGAGAAAAACCTCACAACGCTTCTAAAATCAGCTCCCCGTAAGGGAAACATTTTTAGAGCAGAGATGATAAAGGAAAAAAAAACAAAAAAACCCTAGATGGGAGAGATCTCCAGACGGGCAGAGGAAGAACCCTGCAACAGCTCCTCCATCCTGCCTCAGCCGAAGAGAGGAAGGGCGAAGAGGGAAGGGAAAAGGCGAAACCAGCTTCAATTTAATGCAGACTGCAAATTGGTCAGCTCAGATACAGTCCTGAGCGGGAGGCTGGCTGGGCACCCAGGATCCCCAGACCCTCTCCGAGGGGCCCCAGCCCCCGTTCCCCGCTGCCTCGCCCCCCTCGCGCCCCGTCCCTCACCAGCCTGGGTGGTGTCGCTCAGATCGTGCTGGGCTGCGCTGGCCCGCGGATAATCCCGGAGCTTCCTGCCGCTCAAACTGAGGGTCCCGCTGACCGCCGCTTCTTCCAGCGCTCGGTCCAAGGAGCGGCTCCAGGAGCCGGGAGCCGMGGGACCGGGCGGAGCGGGACAAGCCGCGGGCATCGCGGCAGAGCCGCCCTCCGGCGCCGCCATTTCCCCGCCACAGCCCGCGCGGACGGCGCATGACAGAGCGCGCGGCGGGAGCGCATGCGCGGCCGCCGCCCGGCGGCACCGGGAGCAGGCGGCCTCTGCCCGGGGCGGCATCTGCCCGCTCGCCTCAGCCGGGCTGCCGTGCGAACGGACCCCCCGCCCCTTGACACAGCTGTGCACCTGCTCAAACTGATGGAAATCCTACTTTACCCGCCAAAATGGGATGTCACAGGTTGGTGTTTGGGTAAGCATTGCTCACAGCTGCTGGGTGTCGGGCCATTTACAGCAGCAAAACAAGAGCAGAGCGTACAAATCTTAGCTAAGTGGGAAATGTAACAGCTGCTTCAGGTTTTTTAACTTATGGATTGATGACATTAAAAGGTCACACTCTTTGCRCACACCTGCATAAATGCCACCTTGCCCTGCTTCCACTGAACCCACCTGATGCTGCAGCAAACACCTGAGCCAGTAATGAAGAACGCTCTTAATAATCAGGTGGCAAGACACTTGCAATATTTAACACCTTATCAACTATATTTACAGGCAGTGTTTTGTTCTGCACTGACAAYTAACAGCAGCATTTCCACTGCTTGTGCCTCCTGCTGGCACAGCACTCCCAGACACTGTTCCTGCAGCACGAGGTGTTGATGACAGCAACTTGTTGCTATCAAGATATGTCACAGCAACAATCAGTGCTTGGGCTGCCACATGGGCTACTCTCATCACACCAAACTGAATTAAGCAGTGCTACTGAAGCATAGATTAGTAGCTGACACATTTCAATGCAAGTGAGCCTCTACGGTGCCACTCCAAGAAGTGCTCCACTGTCAAGGTACTATGGCTGGGCAAGGAGTGTGAGCCCTCTTGTAAGTTAGGTGGCTTTCTGCTGTGTTCTTCAGAACTTTTTGTAAGAATTTAATCAGTAAGAACTCCTTGCAGGCTAACAGAAAATTCACATAACCCGTATATTGCCCAGGTGGTTATGACAGAAACRAGACAGTATGAGACCTGTAACTTTTTATTAAAAAAAAAATTAACAGTTTCAGAATAGATCAAATGTAATAACTTCTCCAAAAAATACCAAAAGGTACAGTGTAAAGCATCTTCTCATTAAATACAAACTAGCATTTTTTGATGCACTGCATCAATGTTTTGCATCTATGTTGATGCAAAAGAATTTTCATTGTTGCATCCTGGCACATGGAAAACATCTACACTGAAACAGGATGACTGACTACACTTTATCTACTCAAATTCTAACAGTGAGACATTTATTAAAAAAAATTCCTACTAGTAATTGAGAAAGAAACCTTAACACCATTACATTTAGTTTGCTTCTGCTATGGTATATTTTTGAACAGTAAAAATAAGGGTTTAAGTCCTATTTAGCATCAGAGTGCACTCAGACTTCAAAACTATACAAAAAAAAAAGCCCTTCTACTGTCAAATACTCTTCAAGGCTGAAGTTGCCAGTATATGCTAGTTAACTTGGAATTTGAGATAAAAATGCAAGGAAACCAACTCTGTCAAAAGTAAATTTTTCAAGAACGTGAAAAGGAGTTAAACCCGCTTCAAACACCATAAACATTCTTGGATACAGCAAGCCAGCCACTCTTCTACCTGACTGTACCTAACCCTCCTTGCCAAAGAACAATGCCAAGATCATCAGCTCCTGGTCTGGAAGCAATTTTGAAGAGATGCCTCTGTTTTAGGGATTATGTAAATTCACATTGAGGATGCCCCAGTTGTTACTGTCCTGCAGGTTCTGATGCACAGAGCTATACCTAAAGAAAGTGGTTCCATGTTCCTGCTTAATGCCTTATACATGCTGGCAAACTGAGGGCTTTCCTCCAGCAACGTTCCTTAGTTTCAGACAATTTCCAGATGTCTGACCACTTAGGATCAGCTTCACATCTTAACCTCTCTTTGGTATAAACAAACAAGTGCCATGAGATTGCCTGCCTTCAGCTATTTGTAAAGAGTCAAAGAAAACCCTCTGGGGCAAAGTATGCAGGATGAGAATCATGTGTCTGGGAGGGTAAGAAACCCTACCATACTGTTGAGTTCCTTGTGAACAGCAGTATTTTTTCCTATCAAATTAGTCAAAACCATGAAATTATTGCATTAAGTTTGTGCATTAAGTTTCTTGCCA